GGATCTAGGCTGGCGCGGTGCGGGCGGGGCCCAGAAGATCGGGAAGACTGAACCAGACACACGCGGACCCTAACTCAGGCTGCTTCGGCCACATTCCGGCCCACGAGGCCCGGGAAGCCATGCATTTTAGGATGGGTCGCGGGCGCAGCGCTCCCGGGCACAGGCTAGGAAATGCTGGGAAACTGGACGCTTGGAAACTCAGGGACGACGGCCCCTGGCGGCGAGCAACTCGCGGTCAAACGCCGTCTTCTGAGCGAGGCTCTCGACTGCGGTCCGACATCCAGTTTTCAGGCCCTAAGCCTAAACTCATTAGGTCCCCCGGCCGCCCCCCAGCCCTGCCCTTTACCTCTCCGACCGCTGCCGGCGCTGCCTCCCACTCCCTCCCAGCAATCGGAGGCCCCCCCTGGATGCTGCCAGGCCGCACACAGGCCCACCTGGGAATTTGTAGACCCTGAGAAGGAGCTTAGTGATGAGTCGTCACTACATCCCTCACCTGGAGAGCTGCGAGGTGGCTCTCTGGGGCTGGTGCCCTCCCCAGGGATGCCCTGTGTGGTAGAAGATGGGGACGGTGATGGACACCGGCCTGTCTCCCTCCATCTGCGCCCCGGGAGAGAGCAGGCACCAGAAACTCTGAGAGAGCCGCCCCGGAGGGCCAGAGCTTCCACTCTTCCTCTGCAGGGACGGGGATGGGGCGAGGGCTGTCCTGGATCACACCGCAGGGCCTCGTTCTGTGCCTTGGTTTCCTCCCCCGCACAGGGACTCACTCTCGCAGGGGGCCTCAGCGTCCACCCCAGTGTTTCAGGGAAAGCCACTCTGCAAGTCACCCTCCCAGAGCCGTTGAGATAGGCGTCCTGTGTGGGCTTGTGGCAGGAAATGGGCCCTTGCACCCTCGGGGGAGGGGGAGCCCCCCTGCTGATGGGGATGGCCTGATCTTATTGCCCTGCACACCAGCTGGGCTGTTTGCCTAGGAGGTGGCCAGGCTGGGCAGCTGTTTGTGTTTGGTGGAATTGCCCAGCTGGGTGGGTAGCTGGCATCGTTTGCTCAAGGCAGCTGTGATCTGTAAAGTACATAGGCTCTGGCCCGCCCTCCCTCCTTCTTTCCCCTCTGGAGCTGGGACTCAGGAGCCCGGGAGGAGTATGGGTTCTAGAGAGCTTCTTGTCCCCCACCCCTTCATCTGTCCCCTGACCAAGCAGCATCTGCAGATTTGGCCCCAGCCTCCCCGTGCCTGTCCCAGGGGACTGAATCCAGGACCGTCTGAGAGGAGCCTGGTGGGAGCTCCTTGGACCAGACTAGGGGGGATGGGTCCACAAGCAGGCAGTACCCACCCCTGGGACACACTTCCCTGAGTCTTGGGCAGTTCGTGCCAACATTATTGGCCCTAGCCATTAACAGACTCTAGAAAGTCCTCAAAGAAATGTTCCCTCCCCCCTTCTACCTTCTGTGGAACCCAAGCCTCAAAAAAGTGAAGGAATCTTCCCAAGATCACACAGCAGGCCACTTACAAACCAGAACTCCGGTCTTCACACTCCTGCTCAGCCCCTGCCTCTCCACCAAGTACCAGGCCCGGCACCCCGTGCCCACGGCAGGAAAGACTCCTCTGTCAAGTTCAGAGTCTCAGAAATATTTCAAACCGCATCCCTGCTCTATCCAGTAAGGTGTCTAACCAGTCAAGTGGGAAAATTCCAGCACTGAGTTTAGACCCCTGTTCTCCAAGACTGGGGAGTAATTGGACAAAGGGCTCCTCCCCACTGTTCCTGCACATTCTCTGGAGATGACCAGAAGCTAGCAGACCATAAAAGGGAGGCACGTACCCCACCTCCACATGCTCCTTCCCTGGAACCCAGCAACCCACGGTGACCCAGGGATGCCAGTCTGCAGTCATTGGTCCAGAAACCTTGGAAGGTTTCTGCAGAGAGAACTTCAGACCACACATCTCTCCGCTCCAGTATCAATTTCAGCCTTCCCTCATTCATGCAACCCTCTCACAGACATAAAACATACTAGAAACTTCCAAATAAATGTTGTGACCCTCCCCCCCAAAAAACCGCCAAACAACAGTAATTATAGAATTTGCAGACAATAGTGCTTTTCCCCCAAAAGATCCTGACAGACCCTTGGGTGAAAATTCCTGTCCGAAGTATGAACGCCTCCCTTTCCGTCAGTATGGCCCGGCCCACACGTGTACATTTGAGTGGATGAGGGACAACATGAGTACACAGAGAGGGGCGGAATCCCTGCATGGTGTGGCCGTGGGCAAATGTGGCCAGAGTCTAGACCACCTCGGGTTTCCAGGAAATTGGGTGAGGACAGGAAGGTGAGAGAACCCAGGAGCTGAGCCAAGGAGTGTGGCGAGGAGAGGCAGGTGAATGCAGCGGCAGGCTTTCCGGGAGCAGGTGCCCTTGCTAACCGGGTTATCACCTGTCAGCATCCTTGTCTGGCCTCCCCTACTCCGCTGAGCCTCTTTCCAGGTATCTCTCCTGGAATCCCAGATGCTGCTTTGACTCCCCATTAACGGCCTCTGCCCCATCTCCTAGGTGATGCTTCTGGGAGACTCAGGCGTCGGCAAAACCTGTTTCCTGATCCAATTCAAAGACGGGGCCTTCCTGTCCGGAACCTTCATAGCCACCGTCGGCATAGACTTCAGGGTGAGGTGGCTGCAGGCTCCTCCTTCTGGCAGCAAGCCAGGGCTGTGGTTCCGGCACAGGGGCTGCCCTCTCCTTGCCCACCCTGGCTCCCGGGGACTCCTCATGGCTCACTGCCTGGAGAGCATCAGGGATGTTCCCCTGGGACCTCAGAGGTGGCCATGTTGAAGAAGTCTGGGCCAGGCTCGGTGGCTCGGTTTGTCCTCCTAGCCCTTTGGGAGGCTAAGGCGAGTGGACTGCCTGAGACCACGGGTTTGAGACCAGCCCGGGCAACTTGGCGAGATCTCGTCTCTACAATAAATCAAAAATTAGCTGGGCATAATTACTAGCGCATGCCTGTAGTTCCAGCTACTTGGAAGGATGAGGTGGAAGGATCGTCAGAGCCCAGTAGGTTGATGCTGGGGTGGCCGTGAGCGTGCCACTCACTGCACTCCAGCCTGAGCTACAAAGTGAGACTCCAACTCAAAAAAAAAAAAGAAGTCTGGGCAGGGTTGGCTCCTCACCCACCTACAAGGTACAAAAAATGAGACTGAGTCTTCCCTTCCTCCACACCTGGGGAACCATCTCCATGCAGGGCAACCACATCCACAGTGTCAGCTGAGTGTCTCGGCCTACAGCCCTTCTTTGCTCATGGCCCTCAGAGCTGGGCCTCTCTGGCAAGGCCTCAAAGTTCAACTAGGCTTTCTCGAGTTCCCAGGAAGCACAGAACTGCACTAGGTTTAGGAGCTAGGCAGGTCATACAGGAAGTGAGCAGCTCGCCTGGGTTTCAGGGTTTCTCCTTCTCACTTGGTGACTCCATAATTACAAATCTGCATGCGGGTCCAGGAGAGAGAGGGTCTAACCCTAGCAGGTGGAGCTATGCGTCTTCGACTAGGCGGAGAGCTGAAGCTTCCTTCAGGGAGAGGATTATCGGGTGATAGAGGAAAGGTGATCCTCACAGATCTAGTCCTGCGGTCCCAGGATGCAGGCGGACAGCTCATCTCCTGGGGCTGAGCTCCGGGAGAGGGAGCCCCAAGTGGGGAAGGGGCAAAGGGCCTCCACCACCCAGCCCTGGGCTGCCTGCTCAGCCCTGGAGAGAGCCAGGAAGTTTCTCTGTCTCCCTTTGCCCTGCTGTGCTGTGAGAACAGGCGCAGTCCCCAGAAGAGAGGACTCCACAGCAGAGGGGTCTGAGGACAGGGTTCCCGCTGCCCTGAGGGGACGATCTGGCTGGAGCCGTCGCGGGGGGCTCACTGCGCCCCCTCTAGGCCTGGCGAGGGGCCAGGACGGCATGTCGGCAGAGCTCAGGGGCCACGCTTCTCACGCCCTCGCATCCTCTGCCTTCTTCTCTTTCAGAACAAGGTGGTGACCGTGGATGGTGTGCGGGTGAAGCTGCAGGTGAGACCCCAGGCTGGGATGGGGAAGGAGAATGCAGTGGGAGAGCCTGCCCCTGCTTCTCACCCTGAACCACAGGAGGCCTGCAGCCCTGCCCTCGGCCTGGGGTAATTTCCTGTGGGCCCACGGGAGGAAATGGCTTGTGTTTGTCTGACTTCTGAAGCAAAAGTAGTTCCCAGGCACCCTCTCTTCTCTCAAAGGCAGCTCAAAATGCCTTCAGACAAGCAGAGCCTCCCCCCATCTCCTCCCCGGTTTCCCGGTCCTCGTCTGCTCCAGGAGGTTGGACCCCCGCCCCCCACTGGGCTGGGAAAGAGGAGACAGCTCTGAATGAGCTTGAGAACTCAGTAACTACCACCGTCTGGGGCATCAGAGGCTCAGGAGCCCATGGAGACCTACAGAAGGACACAGCCCCACCGGCTCACAGATGCCTCGTAGCAGTCCCCCTCCTCCCAGCACAGTCCCCACACCCTGCCTTCTTCCAACCCTTTGTCACCCCTTCCCAGATCTGGGACACTGCAGGACAGGAACGGTTCCGCAGCGTCACCCACGCCTATTACCGAGATGCCCAGGGTAAGTCCCTCGTGCTCACCACCCCGGCCCCCGGCCCCTCAGAAGCACCGCACTGCTTCCTGAGTCCCCTCTGTGATCCCTCTCCCCTTCCAGCCTTGCTCCTGCTGTATGACATCACCAACCAATCCTCTTTCGACAACATCAGGGTAGGTCTCCCCTTCCCCTGCCTCCCACCCATGAGCAACTGAGGCAGGGCCTATGCCCGTGGCGACTGCTCCCTGCCCTGTGGGAAGGGGGAGGAGTGTAGAACCCTGCTGCCTTCCAAAAAGCACCTGGCTGTGTCTCAGAAGTCATGCGTGCTGCTGAGTGTTTGAGGGCCATGTGGGCATGGGGGCCAGGCAGGCTGTGGTGACCCTCTGCCACCTGCATAGCCCTCCCTGGCTGTGATTCATGGGTAGGTTTCATGTCCGTGCTCAGAACAGTGAACATTGTCCCGCTTCGCCCTGGACAATTATCCACAGAGATAAGCAAGAAGCAGAGAGCCCAACCAGAAAATTCTGCACATACATTTAGCTCAAGTTGCAAGAGAGTGACTCAGGCAGAGAGAGTGGGGTGGCTGTGTCCTCCCAATCAAACTACTAGAGAGAAGAAACAATAATTTAATAAATGCAAGCGCTGACTCTGTGCACAACATTGCACAGGTTTCATGGGTTCCCTGACCTCAAGTTTGCTTACAAGCAAACTGGGATAATAAGACATATAACTATAAAAAGGATAGAAAATCCATGGCACATATGCTGCCACCTCCAACACCATGCTCATGGCAGACATCACTAATCAAGCACAGTACTTTTGATCACTGAGTCTTTATGTGATCTTAGAATCCTAAACAGAGCACTCCAGGAGATCGCTGATGACTACCAGCTTATTTGTGAAATAAAGCCTCCATGCCATCTCTATTTTCTGTAGAACTGAGAGTTGCATGCATGGGGTGCAGGGCAGGGGAGAGGCCAGAACAAAGGTACAGATGAGTGAATTGTGGTGGCTCATGTCTGTAATCCCTACTTGGGAGTCTGAGGCAGGAGGATCACTTGAGGCCAGGAGTTCAAGACCAACCTCAGCAACAAAGTGAGACCCAGACTTAAAAAAAAAAAAAAAAAATTGGGCATGGTGGCACACAGCTGTCATCCCAACTACTCAGGAGGCTGAGGCAAGAAGATTGCTTGGGCCCAGGAGTTTGAGGCTGCAGCGAACTGTGATCACGCCCCTGCCACTGCACTCCAACCTGGGCGACAGAGTGAGACCACATCTCTTTTAAAAAAGTACAGATGAGAGAATGGTCTCATGCTCAGGGGTAGCAAGTAGCTGGGGCCAGCCAAACGTGGCAAAAGAAGGAAGGGAGAGAAGGGTGGAGAAGGCCTTCTCCTCAGCCCTGGCCTGTCCCAGCACGCCCTCTCCCACAGGCCTGGCTCACTGAGATTCATGAGTATGCACAGAGGGACGTGGTGATCATGCTGCTAGGCAACAAGGTGAGTGGGGGGTCAGCCCAACCCTGCACCTCCTCGCACACAGCCAGTGTCAGCCCACCCAGCCTCACAGCCACCCAAGAACAGTTATCCGGACACTCTCCCCACAAAGGACTCTTCAGTTTAGGGATCAGGCATATCTGGAAGCCTCTGTTCAGCCCATGTGCCCTCTTAAAGCTCTGGAAATTGGACCCTCCAGGGAAAGCCCGAGCTGCTGCCTGAGATATCCAGAGTCGTCCCCCTCTCAGCTGTCATTAAGGCACAGTGAGATATGCAGGGTCCCAGGTCAGGGGCTAAGACAGTAAAGAGCTAGCCCCAACTGCTGCCACCCCTCTGTGGCTGGGTCACCGCACCCTTTGCCAAGGGTGAAATCCCAGGGCTGACAGCTGGGTAACTTACCTGAAACGCTGGCCCAGGCCAATCACACCTGCCCGCGGTCCCTTGGGCCACCAGCAGAGGGCAGGCAGTGCCTGCTCCTGGGGCAAAAGATGAGCCAGCTGGGGTCGAGGCTTCCTCCGTCCCCAGAGTGACCCATATGGGCTTGACAGGCCGATGTGAGCAGTGAAAGGGTGATCCGTTCGGAGGACGGAGAGATGCTTGCCAGGGTAAGTAACTCCCCATGGGGCGGGGTGAAGGGTGGGGCCAGTCAGAGGCTGGCCCTGAGGACACTCTGTCCCCGGCAGGAGTATGGCGTTCCCTTCATGGAGACCAGCGCCAAGACGGGCATGAACGTGGAGTTAGCCTTTCTGGCCATTGCCAAGTGAGACTGAGTGGGGAAGGGAATCGCCCAGGGCAGGGCGGCACCACGGGGGATCCAGGAGGGCCCAGCCCCTAGGCCCACCTGCATCCTGCAGTCCATTGCTCCAGGCCGTGGAATGGGGTGGAGGGCTGCCCAGCTCCCCACACCCAACCCAGCCCAGCCCTGCCCATAGCCTCTTCCTCTTCAAGGGAGCTGAAGTACCGGGCAAGACGGCAAGCCAATGAGCCCAGCTTCCAGATCCGAGACTACGTGGAGTCCCAGAAGAAACGCTCCAGCTGTTGCTCCTTCCTGTGAATCCCAAGGGGTGAAGGGGAAGCTCCAGAGGCCCACAGGATGCAGCTGTCTCCCCAGACCTGGGTGTATTTCAAGTGGCTGAGCCAATGGGGAGAAAGTCGGGGGGACCAGGTGCACAACCCCTCCTCAACAGGGAGCTGTACTCCAGCTCCTACCCTTGTTCCTGTAGCTTCTCTGCATCCCAGGGAGGGTAAAGTACTTATATTTTATTGTAATGATATATAAGTTAATACCAAAAAAAGGTACCCAGGTACCCAGAAAACCGAGGCAGGGACCTGGTAGCCCTTTGGCCTTCTAAGACTTGGGACTAGGACTCAGGGGGCTGGGCCTCCCTCCTGTCTATGACATCAGGGGACAGGGATGCACTTCTGGGGTGCAAAGGCAGGTAGTGACCTCATGGCCACCCTCAGTTCAGCTGGAGAGAAGCTGGGGATGCTCCAGCCTTCACTTCCTCCTGCTCCCCAGGAGCTCAGCTTCCCTCATTAGGTGGGCCCTTGTGCTGGGACCTGGACCACAGCCTCAGGAAAGATGAGAGATGTGGAGATGGGAGGAGCAGGGCAAACAGCAGAGACCAGGGGCTGGCCTGACCGCCCCCCTCCCGGAGGTTAGGCCCCTTTCCTCCAGCACACAAGCACATTGGGGCGCCTGGATACTGGTTCCAGGTTCCACTTCTCTGATCCCAGGGGACTTCCCCCGCCAATCCCTGTCTTAGCTTGTCTTAGCTGCCTTTCTGCCTGTGCCCCTAGATGCCTCAGGTCAGAACTAGGAAAAAGTGTTTCTTCTTGTCCCAATCCTTTGGCAAGTATGTAGGCCCACAGGTGATTTATTCATGTAGCTGCAGTGTTTAGCTATCCTGGGTTAAAAGCCGGATAAAGAGAAATCCCTTTCCTAGGTTTGGAATGTGTTGTGAAAGAGAGAGAGAGAGAGAAATCCCTGGCTCCTGGAGTGAGTCGGAGACAGGACTGAGCAAACCTTGCTGCACATGTATCCCCTTAAACTCAAGTTCTGCCCAGACCACCCATACCCTTTTCTTTAACTTCTCAGACAGACACCAGGGCCAAGACTGCTTTATCTTTCCTCCTACTGAGTCAGGGTAGGGGGTGGGAGGTTATCCATTTCTGGGTTAAACCAATGCGATATGCAAAACAAGGTCAAGTGAGTAAGTCTGCGGTGGGGAGAGGATAGCAAGGATTTAATGTGGTCCCCTTGGTCACATGTCACCCAAAGCCCTGACCCCAGCCTCTGGAAATGGACAGGAGACGTGCAGGTCATGACCTACAGGCACCTTTACTCCAGCTCTGCCCGCCAGGGGTAGGGGAGGGAGCTGAGCAAGAAGTATGCACTGCACATTTCTGAGGCTGCTGTATTTGCTTTCAAGGCAGAAATCTTGCTCTCTGAGCAGTTAGCAGGCAGAGCAGGGAGGAGCCTGACATTGCCAGTCTCTCCTGGGGCCCAAGACAGGTTGCAGATCCAATCACGTAGACAGCCCTGGACCTTTATCATCTGTGTTTTTCAGAATTAAATTGCAGTATTTTGGAAAGTATATCCTGTCCACTGTTTCTTTAAGGTGAGCTTGGGAGGGGAGGATCCTGTTGGATTGTTATTGCACATTGAAGGAACTGGCATTGACTGCCAAAACCATTCAGTCCTCATCCTTCATTGTCCTCAAATGGTCACCTCACCCTTAACAGACCGCCTCCCAGCCTCTGTGGCCAGCCTCTCACCTGGCAAGAGGGAGCGACAAGGTTTCTCTTACATTCCTAATCATTTTTCTCTGTTGAAAAAAGTCCGGGCTCGCTTCTCTCCCTGTGGCGTGCACCCAGAGGTTGAGTACCTGACTGTTATGCCTCTCCCACTACACCTTAGCCAAAGGCGGCCGCTGGTGCCCATGCCATTGCCCTCGGGGGCCTCTCTTCGGTTGGGTGGGTGGGCTGCCCCGGGAAGTCTCAGGCTTTCTCCTGAGCCTCACCCCTATAAGCGGGTCCCGGGACGCTCAAAGTGATTTCACAGATGGGGAAATTCGTTATTCAGACAACTCCGTTAGGTCCGAGGAGGCCCTCCTCGCCTTATTCTTAGAACCGCGGGCCCTCGCTGTCCCGGAGCAGGAGGGGTTGCCCCGGCCACAGCCGTCCACCCTCCCCCCGCCCCCATCGGCGCTGCACTCCAGGCTTTGGCTGAAAGCTGTCAAAACGCGAGGGTCCTTGACCCCAAGGCTGGCTCGCCTCGGTCCCCGCCACAGGTGCGGACACCGGGAGCCCGAGGGCCCCTCCGCCCGGTACCGAGAAGTCGCCCGGGCCCCGCCCCTGCAGCCCCAACGCCGGCCACTTGGTAACAAACACTGCCACTTCCTGAGCCCT